GCTATAGTTTAAATATTCAGAATCGAAAAAAACCGACTTTCAACAAATTATTATTTTCTTCTAAACGGTTTAGTGACTGCTAAGTGCTCTAATGTTTTGCAATACTGTTCTTTAAAGTTCCAGTTATACATATAACGAATTTAAAATACATGGTATTATTTTTTCGATATTTTTAACGTAATATAATCAATCAAGTAACGAATTTTCAGAAGATTATATGTAAAACTAGAAGAATTTAAATTGCAATAATTTTTTAATGAGTTAGTGAGTTAAAAGTTAAATGTTAATAATAGCTTTATAGTATCAAAGTAGAAGTAATCTATATAAATTTTATAAATTTTTTACTATTTTTAGATGTCTCCCATACCATCCTTAATAATTTTCTCTCTAATGACAATTGAATGTCAATCTTGAAATCTTGTTAGATTGCGCGTATCTTATTGTCAGAAATTTGTGTGCCAAATTTAAAAAAGAAAGCATGTCTATATATGATGTCCTTTTACTCTTACATTGAGAAGAGAAAACTGTTCCCTTCCCACTAAAACTATTTCCTACACAGAGAGAATTTTCTCTTATAGAATTTACTCTGAAAATCATAATAATCGTGGGATTAATGTGGTAGTGGAACAATATTATAATTATAAGAGTTTCTCTGATTAATATTTATTTACCACACAATAACACAGAAAAAAAGGAATCCTTGATTCAAGTATTTTTATTCTTGAACGCTATTTGATTGATTTAAGCATAGAATGCTCTTTGTAATCACAAATTTTCATTTGCCTTAATAATAAATAAATTTGTGTAAAGTAAATTTTATCCTTAAGATATATTCTTGTTTTAAAAATCGTATATGGTAAAAACAAACTTAGTCACATTTGAACTAAGAATTATTATATTTTATTTGAAAGTACCGCTTATATCCGATGCACACTTGTCACTTGTCCTTGCAATATTTATAAGTAATTTCAGCTTCAACCAAGAATATTTTGCACTTTGTTTTAAGGATAAATTATCCTTTATCCAAAATTATTTATATTTGGTGCTATTATAAGGATAAAATATACTTAAATCAGGCATATTTGCATTCTCTCAAGATACTGTTTTTTTCTGTGAGAAATATTAATATCTATCACAATAAGATGTAAAATATGTTCATTGAATTTTATTATGTACATGTATTTTAATTGCGATAAATATTAATCAGAGAAACTCTTATATAAAATTCTTCCCACATTACCATAATTTTAGGATAAATTCAAAAAAAAAATTCTCTCCGTGTATATGATTAAAGTAAAACAACAGTTTATTGAAAAATTCTCGTTATTTATTAATCTTATATTATCGAACTTGAAATTAAAATGGCTATTTTTCGCGGATCGAGGCACATGGCGTCTGTCATTAAAGTATGCAGTACAATGACGCTGAGCGTTGCATCTCGCGATCTGTATCACGTCGCGACCGGACATACCGACGTAACTTTTATTACGACCGTTTCGAGGGAAATTGGAGTAAATTACGAGCGTGTTTGCCAAGCGTCTTGCATCGTCCGTGTATGTATATATACGTGTGTGTGCTACTCGCCACCGTTAAAATTCCTTGACGATGCCTCCGAGATAACCGTGTTCTGGTAGCGATCGAACTCGATGACTCGCGATTATATTCGCAGACGGAAATTTTCGACCAGGTAATATACGAGAGAAACTATATAATATCATACTTTCCTTTCGTGAATAAAAAAATGACACAAGTTATCGAGGAAAATATATTTGGCGGAAAAAAAATGTTGAAGTTGATTTCGAAAGAGGGTTTGGTTCGCCGATTGTTGACGCGTTAAAAGTCAATTTTTCATCGGTGCTCCGCGAATAGAGAGAAAGAGAGGGAGAGTCCCGCGGGTCTCTTTATTACAAAACCCAGTCTCGACAGCGGCTTTACAGTCGGAAGGACCGATGACTGGCAAGCAAGCGACGACGAGGGGCCCTGAACCCGTGTATAAGGTATGTACTGGTCCAGAGAGCGCCCTTGCCTTCGCTCCGTCAGTTTTTTCATCGTCTGCTCTCGGGCTGCTGCCGCTTTTAAAGCGATCGTCACGGGCACCGCGCTTTTACGCGGTTCTTTCTCGGCAGGTGTGCGCGCGCGCGCACACACCTTCTCTCTTCTCCCGTGTGTTTCTTCTTCCTTCTCTCGCGCTATTACCGCGTCATACTGTCGCGAAGAAACGCTCGATCTCCCAAGAAGATTATAAAAATATTATGCAAACGATCAAAGTCAATGCAACTTTCCACGCGCGCGTCATTTCTCGAAGATAATAATAATGTAATCAAAGTTAAACGTGGATAATTTTTAAATTATCTAGATAAAGATGAGATGAGAATATGTAAAATTATCTTGGATAAGATTTTGAATTTAAATGTATCTAGATAAAATTATATAGACTCATCTAGGTAACTTCCAGATAATATTATTTTAAAATCATGTATAAACCACAGTTATTATAAAAATAAAAATATATTCATACTTTTATTTGTAAATTTTTGTCTCAATATTTTACGTGCTACGACTCTAAAGCTAATTATCTGAACATTATTCTAGATAATTTATTAAAGATCATTTTTTTATTTAAGGTGCAGATATATAGATAATATATATTATTATCTATATTTTTTCATTAGATGATCATCTATATAATTTTATTTAGATAACAGTAAACACTGAGTGTAATAGAATCTTCAATGTTGGGTGCGCAAAATTCGCTTGTAATCCGAAGATTGTCAAAGAACGATTACACGCTTCAACATATTCAGAAGAAAAGGCAGAAAAAAGCCAAAATTCACACTCCGGGATGCAGACAAATTCTATGTACAATTAAATTGGACGAAAGAAAACTCATCATCGAGAAAGCGGTAATCGAGTGAATCCGGTTTGCCTTTCGTCTGATTGGAATCGCGTTTCGGTATATTTCGCGGCGAGAACCTGGTGGACCGTCACGTACAGAGGTAAAGTTTTTTTTTTCTATGAGTCAGCGCAAGCGAAATAGATTTTGAACACTGATCTACATCTGTAAAAATTATAATCCATTTTATTATTGGCTTGATTATTTCTGTAGCGAGATCCCTCGTACATTGTAGAGGATTAATGATAAATGCAAGCCCGCGGTGTGTATATACCCAGCAAACACAATATATAAATGTTATATACTTAAGCATGTTACATGTAACGTATATGTTAGTTGTAATTTCCCACTCATAGATGTAACATTTTTAATATTACATTGTAGTTATATTGTCATTATATCCCAAGATAGCACTGACTTATCAATACATCAATGTGCTATTTGGTATATAATTACAATATAACTACAATGTAATATATGTTATATTAAAATGTTACATCTATAAGTGAGAAATTACAACTAACATGATGTTACATGTAACGTACACGTTATATTACCTGTTATATTCCGTTTTATTATAGCAATGTAACAATTATATATTGGTGTTTGCTGGGTACATATAATTGCCGCAAATCTCATGCACGATACTTTAATCGTGTATATACTCGACGGTTATTTTTCTTTCCAGTTGACTCGAAGCAATTCTTAGGCAATTCAATGTGCGGGTTTAGCACGCGAGTAGACTTTGTTCTCATTCAGAAAGTGTCATTCACGGAGAATGCTTCGCGGCTGATGTGTAGCACAGATTGTCTTGCATCTCGAAAATGAATTATGACGATACAAATCAACACGTTTCTCTCTGAGATACTTTTTTTATCAAACCTGTATTCTTCAAAATAATTTTGCAATATATGATAATTTTCTCATTTATCATTTAAGACTTTTTCATCTCATCTATACACAGATAGAATTTTCTCTTAATTTATCCTGAAATTATGATAATATTGGAAGAATTTTACAAGAGTTTCTTTGATTAATATTTACAACAATAAAAATATTAATGTCTACCACAATAAAATACAAAATATAATCGATTAATTTTACATATTAATATTTTTTATTGTGGTAAATATTAATCAGAGAATTCTTATATACCATGATTTTCAGAGTGAATTCAACTGAGAGAAAATTCTCTCCGTGTAATAATAAGGTAATATTTGCAAAATAAAACTTAAATTATAAAGCAAAGAATATCTCGCTTATTCTTGATATTTCGAATTAAGTATATTTTTCAAATTCGAATTTTGCTCCAACATTCTAATATATTATTAAAAGTATATTTGATTTTTTAGATAAAATCTTTTAAATCGAAAGTTTCGCCAATTTTATATCTTGCTTCACAACTCGGTGTTTATCACCGTCATTAATCTATTATTTTTTTTTGTTTGCGGCAGATCGCTTATGTAATGCTCTGTCAATAATTATATAATGTGCGATCAATGCATTCTATCTCATCTAAGACGTAACCTCGCGCATAACCTTATACAACTTGCGTCAACGTTTACTTCAACGCATCTTACGACCTATATACATAGCGAGATTCATAAAAGATCTGCAGCATTATTCAAACATTTTATTAAATATTTTAAATGTTATACATTAATATGATTTACTATCATAAAATAAATTATATTTAATATAAATACATTATATATGACATATATATAGTATAATATCAGATTGTGAATATTTGAGTGTATTATAATTTATTTTCAACCTCTGACAACAGTTACGAAATTTGTTAGTAAACACTTTAATCAAGCTCGCATAGCGAACCTTGTATCGTTTTTAAAATTGTTCCCCTTTTTCAAAAAAAATTAGCAATATTATTTTCACAAATGTGTAACAAAATAATTGCGCGTGAAAATGCGCGAAACCATTTAAATTTAAATCAGACAACGAGAAAAGAGAAAAAGATTAATCTCTCTCTTCCTCATTCTTTCGATATCGCGTTACTGTTGTCAAGTGAAAAACGATCGCGAGAACCTGCGGGCCGTTTCGCGTGTCAAATTCGCAGCGACGCGAGAAGAAAATATACGAGACTCACCTAACGAACAGCTGTTCCTGATTATTCACCCCGCCAAGACACCACGGTGGCTCCTGCAAAATGGAAAATCAAGAATCAGAATTTCGATCTCGCCGACGATGACACGTGAAGAGGGATCGCATATCCCGCGCGTGTGAGATGCCGCACCGCACCGTTGCTCGGGAACCGCGTTCGGAGGTGCGCACTCACACACGCAGCCACACACATACACACACGCGCGCGCGAAAACGTAAACGTTCCGGAGCATCTCGGAGCGTCGCGTCGCGTCGCGTCGGGAGAAGCGCGACTTTTTTCCGGGCGCACAAACCTCTCGGCGAGACCTCGGTGACGCGTTGACGTTTAGCAGCGGCGGATTCATTCATCTCGATCACGATTCCTGTTTCTCGGTAAATCGACGTACGGGGAAGCAGATTCGCGCGCGGACCCACATACACACACACGCACGCACGCACACATGCACGCGCACACACACCGTGTAAATTGATGGTGCAGGTGGTGTTGTTGCCCCTGTCGAGCACGACAACGCTAGTAGCCGCTGCCATGTTTGAGTGGTGAATGCGCCGCCGGCCGGCCGCTCGACGCGGCCACCTTTGTCCGACGCCCTCGGGCTCGTCCCCACCCGCGTTAAAGAGTTCTCCCCCCTCTCAAAGAAAGCCGATAGAGAGTGCTGCCACGCGAACCTTTGCGGCGATCGGGCTAACCGAGCAGAGACGGCGCGATCGATTAAAGGGTACCGGCGACCGAATTAAAGGGATCTTCTGCATCCTTTCTTATCTTTATTTTTATTGAATATGCTTTTCACAATTAAAGTATATATATATATATATATATATATATCAACAAAAACCGGAACCTACCGATCTATATATTTAAATAGAAAAAAGAATTTACATTTGAAAGAAATTATTTTAAAAAGTCTTTGCAAATTAAAAAAAATACATCGTTGATCCTATAGAGTAAAACTAATAAAATGGAACAAAAACTATTAATTAAATAATTTTGCTTACATCCTATTATCGATGTCAGAATCCGATAGTATGTATAATAATAATTAACGAACTATGAACACTATAATTTATGTAAAAAAAACGAAAATAATTTTTTAAAGGCCGATAAAAAATGTAATTAAAAATTGTTATTTTTTATCTGAAAATGTAATTCTAATATTAATTAAAAAATTAATATTAACAAATTAGGGAGGTATGGCAAAAAGAACTTTTCAATCTGTATATAATATAGCCATTATTGTAATAAAAAAATGGTCGAATCCAACTTGCTGTTGATAATGATATCTACTTTATCTACATTATCTGTTTTATCTACGAGTGATGTAACAAATATAATAGACTGACAATCTGACAAATATCGCCCTCTATTAAAAAAATTGCATATGCTTGTGAATTATGCTGATATTTCTTTATAATTATTTATTTTTATAGTAAATTTCAATTATAAAAACAATTACATATACTAGCAAAGAAATGAGTAATTCATTTCGTGGTGAACTTTGTGTATTGTACTCCTCGCATAATTCGATGTTTACGACACTATACCGAATTTGCGGAACATGTTAGTTAAATTGTGTACACTATACTACAATAACCTAAACGTAAAATATGCATATATATTGCTTTCCCGAGCGCGGAGAGCAGGAGCGCTGGCGAATCGAAATTCGGCGCGTCTGACAGCGCCATGACAGTTTCGTGACGTAAAGGACGCGGCAACGGCGCCGCGCCGGCCGTGGTAGACGTGGCAGCGTCGCACAGCGGCCGCGGCGGCGGCGCACCAGTGGGGATGTGCTGGTTGACAGACAGCTTCGCGTTCTTCCGCCACGGTGATGTGTCGTCGTTCACCGCTGTGCAACCGTGCGGTCGCACCGTGCCGTGTCAGCTCGTCGATTAATAAATCGGAGTACGGTCGCGCGTCAGCGGCGGTAACGACGACGACGCCAACGACGACGACGACGACGACGTCGACGACGACAACGACGACGACGTCGACCACGACGACGACGACGACGACGACGACCGGCGTCGACGACGACGACGACGGTGGCGCGTGTCGCGATTAATAAACGGGCAGTGTGTGGTGCTGTGGTGGAAGGGACGATGAAGGCCGGAGGGATAATTTGGGTGGCGACTTGAGGACAGAAATGTTGAAGTTCGGCAGCAAGAGCGACGTTACGGTGGTGCATCGCGCCACTATTCGACTGTTTGACGACAACGAGATCATCTACTGCGACTTTCAGGTGAGAAGAAAAGAGGAGAGCGCTGCCGCCTCGCGTTCGCGCTCCATTCCGCTCCGTTCCGTTCCGCTTCCGTTGCTCGACGCGTTCCTCCTCCTGTTCTCGCACGCGAGGATACGTCCGGATACTTTCTCGCTATCCTCGCGACTTATCCCTCTTCTCCTCGGCTTCGCCTCTCGCGCGCACTGTCACTCGCAGGAGTGTCGGAAGTCGGAAGTCTCGAATGGGTAGGATCCGAAAGTCCCTTCATTCATACGATATAATTGCTCCGATTTTATTCATCCCTGTATATCGGACAAAAATAATGTTTTAAACGAGATCTCATCGCACAATGCACCGCAACAATGCAATTGCGATTCCGGCAGATCTCGACGATACCACTATTTGCTCCAATCAGCAGATTTTGCTGATGTGTTTATAGTTTTATATATTTTTAATTAAAACTAATTTTACACAATGACTTTTGCGATTAATCATATGATCGCCAAAGTCATTTGTCAAATTATCTTTGCATTTAATTTCTTATTTGTCATATTTGAATAATATATCTGCTTAATGATTAAATGACATAAGTCTTTTTTGACCATACGTCTAATGATAGAAAATTATGAAACTTTTGCAAGTGCCTGGCGTATTAATGAATTATTGATGAGTCCAACAGATTATTATATAATCAATAGTATACGTTCGTAGTGCTATAGTAACTTTAGGCCGACTAAATTAATCATATATTGAGGACATATTTTGGATATATACATATATCGCTTTTTAAAACATTTAAAAAATTTTTTTGGATTAATCTGAAAAGAGAAAAAAAAACTAGTTTGAGCAAGGGAAAGCGAGTCGAATTAATATGTACGACACTCTTATGCAGCTTTTTCTCCCATACAACATACGATGATGTCACGATGATTATTGCATCATTCGCAGATGCGAAATGACACGTGTCAAAAGAGACGTACATTTTTTTTAAGAGAAGTTTACCAAATGTGTCAGTTAGACTCGTAAAACGAGGTATATTATCTTTAAAAATACAAATATTCTGGTATATTTTTACAATTTGCACTATTTTACACATCTGTTTTGCACGTTTACGTATAGTATTTCTAAAACTATTCTAGGGGTTTAAAGAAAAACAGTTCCTATAAACATGGGTCTAAAAATGAAAATTAGCACCCTCTATTTCTCCTTCTCAAAACCGGACTAAATTGTCAAAATCATATTTAAAAATCAAGTATTCACTATACATATACTAATTATTATGCAAAATTTCAATCGATCTGTAAAAAAATTTCCGAGAGTTATCCATTATAATCCATTTTTTGATTGAGGAAAATCATTTTTGTACCCATATATGTTTATAGGAACTCTTTTCTTATTTTGATTCCTATAGAATACGCCCTTAAAATCTCTGACACAGTTTTAGAAATACTCTGTATATTTGTTTGTTCCACGTTTACGTTCCGATTGATGCGTTTATTGAAAAAAATAGAATTTTCTCATTAATATGGATTATACGATATTTGATTATTTTATTCATTTTGAATTTTTTAAATTATTTATTCAGTTGTATATTTTTCTGAATTGTATATACTAAAGGGACTTATTTCCCGTTAAACAAACGAATAAATAAAAAGAGAATAAAACTACAAATGATTTGGAGACACGACTGTTTGTTATTTGCTCGCGTCTCTTTTCCACGTGCCGTTGACATTTCTCATCCGGCTCGCGGCCTCGCGAGGGACGCGAGTTGAGCACCGCTGAACTCGGGGGTCGAACCGCGTCCGCGGATCCGTTTGACGTTTGGTCGCAGGTAGCCGCGCGGCGTCTCCGACCGAAGCGTCTCTCGCTCGGATCGATTCGCGGAAGAATTCGCCTGATTCCGATCGTCATCGTCGCGGGCGGTTTGTGTCCTGTCAAAAATGTTATCTCTCCCTCTCGAATCGTGTGTGTTTGCGCGCCATCGACGTTTCTCAGGTCTTATACACACATCGTTAAATAGAAAGGTCTCTCGATTCGATTTTAATTACTCTTTAATTGTCGAGTTAAACTTGGAAATGTCACACGTTATTTTTCGTCCGCACGAGAGAGACACTTTCTGAATTTTATAATTTCATTTAACACATACAACCTGCAACCTCGAGAGACCTATACATTCCGCGTATATTGAGCAATCGCTATCGCGGTCAGTCGTTACGCAAGTAGAGAGAGAAAGAGAAAGAGAGGGTGAAAGAAAGAGAAGAGTATATTTCTCGATAAATTGATATCATTTCCAAAGTTTCGCGTTATTTTGTTGCGTCTCGCAACCTGTTTACCATCTCTTCTTTCGCGCGAAATTAACGTCAATTAAATTTTATTTCGATGAGGCAAGCCAGGTCATACGCAGATATTCGCTTCGCGGGATCTCTGGATCATCTCCGAATTATTCGGTCGCGGTCAACCCAACGTGATCGGGATCGGTTTGTTCCCCTTCATTAAACGCATGCGATAATGATGTGCTCTTTGTGGTCGCGGAAAATATAGGGGGATGCGTGTTTCAATCGAACGATATACGATGCGGGTACTGCATCGAAATAATTGGCAGCGCAGTGTTTACTGTTATCGAAATAAAATTATATAGATGATCATCTAGATACAATTTTGCCGTCATCTTATTTTTATATAGATAATAAGAATATGTATCTGCTTTTGAGATGAAAAAAGTATTATCTTTACGAAATTGTCTAGAATAATGTTTAAATAATTTGCTTTAGAGTCATAGTACATAAAAATACTTAAGATACAAATTTACACAAAGAAAAGTGTGAATATATTTTTATATTCCTTTGATAATTTACATTTTTTTATAACTGTTTTTATACTATATACTTATAAGTGATTTTAAAAATAATATTATCTGGAAGTGACCTAAATGAATCACTATGTGATTTTACCTGCTTATATCTAGATAATTTTAAAATAATTTAAGCACAACACTAATTGACAGACAACACGAGGCAAAATGCGAGGTAGAATCGTTGATTTAGATTTAAATTCTGAATATCGAAGAAAAGATCGCAAAAGAATCGAGTATTCGCGATTAAAGATATCTATAAAATCAATGGCAGATAACATAATCGCGAAGAAAACATTTTCGATCATTTTCTATTTTGCTATTACATACGCTTTAAAATCTTTTATTTTTTCCATTCTTTTCTGTATTTTTATTTAACATTGTAAAAAATGCAGTAAACTTAAAAAGAAAACACGTACAATTCAAACCGATTAAAATGCGTTATGTGATTGTTGCAGTTTGAGGAAAATAAAAACTGAAATATTGGAATAAATATCTTTTACAAAAGTCTGTTTTTTTAAATATTTT